GAACCTTTTAGGACTGAGGCCAACTGCGACCGGGCAGTCTCGTTTTCCAAGGCCAGGCGGTCTATCTTGCCTCTCCACTCTTCGGCCTCGACCTTAACTGCATCCATCTCAGCTCAGAGTTGGTCGATTTGATCAATCTTCTGCTGGACCTGCGGGTTCCGACCATTAGTCACTGTGTCTAGCTTATCGTCACAAACTTCAAAGATTTTTACTTGTTCAACCAGGTCGGCGTGTTCCTTCCGAGCCACTTCCAATTGAGCTCGAAGGCTCTTAGCCTCTCCTTTACGCGACTCACTGAGAAGTTTGTAGGTATCTCTTTTCTCAGTAAGCCCTCTGACTTCGACTTCGAGATGGTTCTACTCATCCCGATACCGGAGGAAAGTTTCATGGTGAAGCACCGAGGCTTACAAATACGAAGAAGAATATTAGGATTATCAATGAATTAGTTCAAGTATAAGAGGAGGAATTGAAATCATCGAGAGTTGTCTAAAGTTACCCGGTTCAGCGCCTGTTGTGCTTCGTTGAACAGGCAGGGCGCGTCTACCTCGTTCATTTTGGCTTGGTCTTCCTCGGTCACCAAACACCGAAGGTAACTGGCCACCCCTATGGGGGCGGAAAGAACCCGGGCATCCTCTGGAACGGGGATGATGATGGATCTCTTCCGGTCAGGATCCACGCTCGGGGCAGGGAACCGGTTGATCAGTTTCGGGCTCGAGGTAGGCCCACTTGCTCCCGAAGACGGACTCTTCTTCGGTACCTCTAAGTCACCCAATCCGCTGACGTCCTCCATGGCAGTGGAATCCACGCCATCAAAAAAGCTGCAGAAAGGGTCGTCCGCCCCATGGGTCCCCTCGTTGGGGCGTTCTTTCGCCGTTTGGGCTCATTGTACATAGATTCAGTAAACGAGGGTGACTCGGTGATGTCTATCACACCGAGTGCCTCCTTCGGAGCATTGCCCGCATCCCAGGAAGCCTCGGCCCGGGCCTCATCATCGACCTCTTTAGCTTGAGGTAGATCGGCCTCGCGGTTCTCTGGTTCTGAGGCCCCCTGCCCTTCAAGCTGCGACGGCACGGGGGCCACCAAAACAAAGGGTTCTTTTTATTCTTCGGATTCGTCTCTCAACCGATAGAGAGAATCCGAAGATGGTGCTCGGGCACTGGTGCTTTCTTTTGACTTGCATGCCAGCCTTCTTCTTCTTTTCTTTTTCTCCGAGCTCGAGGAACTCGGAGCCCATTTCGTTTCTTCTCTTCGGCCTGTCTTGGAACAGGGGACTCGGTAGGTAAGTCCTCACCACCGGCTGGAGGCCTCAGCTCGACATCCTTAGATAAGCCTGCAAAAAGAAGTAAAGGGAGTAAGGGCTTAATATTAAAAGAGGAATCCTAATACTACTTACTCGGGAAAGAAGTCTCACCATGGGAACGATCCTCCCAACGGCCCTTCGAGAGCTTGCGCCATGAGCGCTCAGAATATGGCATCTGTGATACGATACCCTCGACCCACTCCTTGAGTCGAGGGACAGCATTCGGGACCCGAGCAACGACTGCACCACCACAAAACATCGGTAAGAAAAAGAGAAGTGTAAAATCAACATTCGAAAGTAAGTCATACTTACGTGAGGTATTTCACTTCTCGGAGAATGGCATGCACTCGGCTGGGATTAAGTTTGAAGTCCTCACTCGGACAAAACGGCCTTGCCAGTTTCGATCCCGGCCCCTCATCAATACTTGAGAACGGGGCTTTACTGGCCCGACGCANATAGTGAAGGATGAATCTGACCGAGGCATACCTCGTACCTCTTACAGAAATCTATGATGACCGGGTCCATCGGGACCAATATAAAGGGATAAGTGTAAACACTTAGGCATCCTTCGACATGGGTGGTAATGGCTTCATCGGGGTCGGGGATCACTATGTCCTTATCGGCCTAGTTGCAGTCTTTTCGGACCATAGAGAGGACTTCTTCAGTGATCGAGCAGATGTATCTCGAGACCTCCTCACACCGGCCTTGTACGGAGGAAGGTTTTTCAACCTTGAAATCGACGTTGACTGAGCATCCCCCGGGGATGAACATTTTCAAAGGGGGTTCAGGTACTGGTTCGTCGATGGCAGCGCGCAAAACGGTCTCCTCGGTCTCAGTAGCCGGCCGCGAAGTAGAAGGAGTTTCTTTCTGGGGAACGATTTTTGAAGTCTTTGCCATTTCTTTAAAAAAAAATGGAGGAAAATCTGAAAAAGTGGAAAAAGAAAGGAAGTTGAAAGACTGGACTTGATGGCTTAAGATGAAGACGGGCAAAAATTCTTGCGAAGGATCTCGAAAAATCGGATTAAAAGTACTAGAAAGTATTGAAATCTTAAAGGTACGCGGGTAGAAGGTTTGGATGTAAAGTTAAAATGAACAAAGAAGGGGTATTTATAGTATTTCAGTGGCGTTTCGCATCTAGGGACAGTCGACCGGCGGCTGACATGCATTTCATGCCATTAAGACTTGACTGACGAGACGTTTCGGTTGTTTTGTCGTTTCTGTCACGGTGCATCGAAGCAAGAGTCGGAAGCTCGTGTCGTTTCTCGTCCTTTACTCTCCGAAAAACGAGGGGACTATCTGTATACGGGTGAAACCGAGCTCATGATGCATCTTATCCTCCGACAAGATAAGCCAAGCTCGAAACATGGCAATAAGGGACCGAAATCGAGCTTAAGTCCCACCTGACTAGAACCCGGCGGCATGACGCCTGCCTTCGAGAATATCAAGGCCATGATCCCGGAATCGGTTCTAGCCTCGAGCGACTTCAAAGAACATTGTTAGACAATCCAGTATAGCCAACAGAAGGCCGAAATATCCGAGACCGGTCGAATATTACGGCGGGGATCTCGACACTTATCGATAAGGAGCCGGCAATTAGTGAATCGGAAGATTTTTTACCTTTTATAGACTTGTACCTAAAATAGGATTCCCCTACTATATAAAGGGGGTCTAATAATTCATTTTGACACATTGTAACACGTACTCAAAAGCAATATATTATTATTTTCTCTGTCTTTAAGCTCTTGTTCTTCTGTTTATCGACACCGGTCGTGGTGAACCTGCTCGAGGGCAATTATTCCACCAAGGCTGAAATTATCCAACTCGTGTGGTTTGAATTTATCTTATCTTTATTTATTCAATAGCAATTTAATTTATCGCTTTGCGTCAAGTTAATCCGCGTATCCTTAAAACTACTTACAAATTTAATTGTTATGCGATTTTAAGGGCAAACAATTTTTCTTTCATACCAAACATGCTCTACATATTTACTTCGCCTCTGCTTAGAGGGAAAATAATGTGACCTGAGAGGAACTTTCATTGAGCAAATTTACGAGATCACATAAAATTTCGTTTATCGGGATTTAGTATAAAATCATAAATGTCTATTTGCATTGCGCCACTTGCTGTGGGTAGCAGACAACTGGAAAAAGACTACTTTTTAAACTAATATCCGTATATTGCTTCAGGGAAAGTGAGTGATTTAAATGATTTTTGTTTCTACGTCCCAGAAACTTATTATTTGCCACGTTCCAACACTGACTAGATGCATAAGAACAAATATGAAACAGTTTCATTTCATAAAATGAGATTGACGTTAGGAATGTTAGGCTAATGCATAACTGCATTGATGATATTATTAGTGGTGCGCGGCAATCTCCTTGTTCTGTTATATTTATATTCTCAATTATGAGGCATAGATGAAAAAAAGAAATAAAAATTTGATTGTAAAGATCTATCTACCTCCAAAACCTATGTGCAAAAACATTAGAGACTATGGGTCTTTTTGGTATGAACGCAAAATATTTTCTGAAAAATATTTTTCAATTTTTCCTTGGATGGCTTAAATATATTTAAAAATATTTTCCTGATAAACTCATTTTCCTCCAACTTTCCTTCCAAAAGGAGGAAAAATATTTTCCAAAACTCTTTCTCAACCTTCCCCACCCTATTCTCCAACCCCATCATCCACCCCACCACCTTCCCCCTCTCC